ACTCGAGCCCCATTCTTCGGATGCACAAAGTGGGCTGTAGTCCATGAAAGCTTATGCTGTAATAAATTTGTTAGTCTCTAAGGTGCCACAAGTACTCCTGTTCTTTTTGTTTAAAAAGTAATTATTTTGCTGTTTAAAGTAAGTGAATGTTACTCAAAAGCTTTTTGGTAACATTTATTACTGCATTTGATTGTCTAATGTAAGAAGTATTCAGGAAGTGTAGTTGTAGTTTTTTAAATTCTTTGACCTTACCGTATAGCTCAGGGGTAGGCAACCTATGACACACGTGCCAAAGGCAGCACGCGAGCTGATTTTCAGTGGCACTCACACTGCCCAGGTCCTGGCCACCAGTCCGGGGGGCTCTGCATTTTAATTTAATTTTAAATGAAGCTTCTTAAATATTTTAAAAACCTTATTTACTTTACATACAACAATAGTTTAGTTATATATTATAGACTTATAGAATGAGACCTTCTAAAAATGTTAAAATGTTTTACTGGTACGCAAAACCTTAAATTAGAGTGAATAAATGAAGACTCGACACATCACTTCTGAAAGGTTGCCCGACCCCTGGTATAGATTATAAAATTAATCTGGTTAATAACATCTGGATTCTAAATAAATAGTTCTTGAGAAATAAGAGTTTTAAACATACCCACTTTCCTTAGCACAGAGATACTGAAAATGCAGGTGAGATGTGGACTGCAAAGCTTTATGTTGGCCTGCGACATACTCTTTAATATGGAGATGTGTTCAAAAGAGATAAATCTGCTTGCAGCAAGATAAAATACAATAATTTGTTTTCACCACCTGCAGCTCTGTATTAAAGATGAGGGTACCTAAAATCTACATCACTTTATGCAAATTACATGCAGCCTTCAGGCTTTTGGTAAGTTAACAATGTGACCTTCAAGTGGGTAAAATTTGGAGCAGAGGCTACAACATTTTGGTTTCTGCTGCTGCAGGGACAGCAAAAGAACACAGCTAATATAACAAATCCTATTTTTACTGGTGAGTAACAAGGAAATAAATGAAACACAGTCATGTTTGCTTTTGTTCAATAAACAACATAAAGAAGAAATATTGTTTGATAATTGGGAAAAGGACAAAATAAGTAGGGGGAAAAATTCAGGGTTGCAAGTCTATTACAACAAATTTAAGAATTTAAAAACAGCATTTAATAGACAGTTTAAAGTTTAATCACATACTGTTTTAAATTGATGTGCTGCAGAATAGTGAACTGATTTATACTTTGTCTTTCAGATGAACCAGAGACACGAGATGCGTGGTGGGCAGAAATCAGACAAGAGATAAAATCCCATGCCAAAGCATTGGGTTGTCATGCTGTAGTGGGCTACAGTGAATCAACTAGCATTTGGTAAATCATGATGATTTGATTTTCTAAATGCCATAGAAAATAATTCTGTACCATCTTCTAAGGATTAAAAATGGGGATAGAGAGCGCAAGACAGATGTTGATAGTGTGTAGCATACCAGCTTTGAAGGGTTTACTAAAACATCTTTCATCTTAAGTTTCAAACTGGGGATAAACAGCTGTGTCTTCACATGTTTTTCAGAATTAATTCTGTAGCCACTGTCATAACTATTCCTTAGCATGCTACTGCTAGTCTTTAATCTACGTATTTGCTTTTGACAGTTAACATTAACTTGTCTAATTCTCAAGTTCACTAAACTTTATCTGCCAGAATGCCTGGACATTTTACTTAAATATGTTTTATAGTTATACTTTATTGTCAAGGAATGATTGATAGTTCAGAAGTAAAACAGATACTTTTAAGGCATGGAAGCAGGGGGTCCTTCTCTAGGGATTGCTCGTAAATTGAGCCAGATAATCTTGCCTCCCAGAGCCGGAGTACTGCAGGCTGAGTGTTCCTGTCCTGAATCTCTCTTTGGGACATACTGACCATGATTTTTCTCCTCCAGTACCACACGGAGAAAATAATGTGTATAGCCTTTTGGGCTAAAATTTGAGGGATTGCATTTTTCCACTCCTGTGATACAGTAGCAGCACTTCCCTGGACAAAGACATTAAACTGGTCTTCATTCCACAAGTCTAACATGTTCCCCCAAATGGCAAAGACAGGTAGACCTCTCGGACATTGAGCCATAGGGAGAAGTTAGGTTCAACTGTTATGGCTCCAATAGCTATGCTAGGCTGTCTCCATCCATCTGGAATTCAAGGGACACAGAAACACAGTAGCCCTATTTATTTGAAAAATATAACAACATACAGCCATCTCAGCTAGAAGCCAGAACTGCACTGACCTATCCCACACTTTGAAGGGTAAGAATATCTCACCTACCTTCTGTATTTGTGATTTATCACAACCTTGGGGAGAACAATATGGAATCCTTGTATCTACTTCCAGGCTCTTTAGTCCACAGAAGGTCACATCTACAGCTCCAGAAAGCAACCCTGAGCAGAAATCCTGCTAGCAGCCAAATACCAGGATATTCAAGTGGAATCAGTTACAGAGGATCAAGTAGAAGAGAACCACTTTCTCCCAAGGAAAATCAGAAAGAGCTGATGATTGGCATCACTTTCATAATACCACAGAAGGAAAATTACCAGATACATGTGAGCTTGATGGGCTGAGAGGTCTACATAGGTTACATAAAAGCAGCAAATTTCCACTACATGCATCCAAAGGAGTGCGTATTCACCCACGAAAGCGCGTGCTCCTATACGTCTGTTAGTCTATAAGGTGCCACAGGACTCTTTGCTGCTTTTACAGATCCAGACTAACACGACTACCCCTTTGATAGGTTACATAGACATTCAAGCACCAGGGACTCCCTTGTCCGGCTCAGTTTCAGGTGGTCTTCCTAGTCCAAGACAAACATATTAGTAATTCCACACATTGTTAAAGCAGTATCATTGGGCAGGCGGGAAAGGAATAGAAGCAAAGCACCCATGGAGATGGCTCAAGTGCTATTCAGTATGGCAGAACCAAACATCTAAATAAAAGTACATTTGAAATGGATCCTAAATGTAAGAGCTAAGTGACAAAGCTAAAACAAGGAAGAATAGAGTCTCGAAGTGGAGGTTTTCAATTGGATAACTAGGAACTTGGGATGACTAGAATTGAAACTTTCACCTCCTCAGAACATCAGGGTCTAATTTTCACTTCAATTCAATTACTAAGTCAGAGAATAAAGATATTTGACAAGAATTTTTCAATGCTAGACTACGTTTGAACATCTTTATTAAAAGTTGCACAGGAAAGAGCACTTTTAGATGAGAACTTGTGCTGAGGTTTTTTCTTTTCCCCCCAACACAAGTAAACACCACAGTTCTACTGTTAGTTGTTGTTGTTTTGTTTTTAAAGCCTGAATATGGACCCAAGCCCCAGTTATGTCAAAATATTTGTGATGTTTTGACATCCTTTTTGGCTTAAGGTTTTGAAGGTTGCCTCAGTGCTTCTATAGCCTGCCTATTCATTTATGTCTAATGTGGAGTTGCAGCATTGTTTGACAAACTCTTCTCAGTGGTCTATTTGAACTATCTTTCTATGTTTTGGCTCTTAAGTTGACCTTCCAAATAGCTTTTGCCTCAGCTATGATGATCTTGGAACTAAGTATCCCCTCCACAGAGGAACTATATCAGGGGTAGGCAACCGATGGCACGTGAGCTGATTTTGAGTGGCACTCTCACTGCCCGGGTCCTGGCCACTGGTCCAGGGGGCTCTGCATTTTAATTTAATTTTAAATGAAGCTTCTTAAACATTTTAAAAACCTTATTTACTTTACATACAACAATTTAGTTTAGTTATATATTATAGACCTATAGAAAGAGACCTTCTAAAAACGTTAAAATGTATTACTAGCACGCGAAACCTTAAATTAGAGTGAATAAATGAAGACTCTGAAAGGTTGCTGACACCTGAACTGTATTTTATCTTTATAAGGATAAAGTTGTCCTTAGACTTTCCTGCTGGTGATGCATAGATCTCAAGAAGTAATCCTACCATCCATTTGATCCCATCCTAGTCACCCGAAGGAATAAGCAATGTTAAGATTTTGCCCTTAAAGAACAAAAACAGATGGAAAATCAAGCTCTATTTGCAGTGACAATGGCAAGCTGCAAAAGGGAGAAGGCATCCAAAGAGCACCTTCACAAGATGGGTAACAGGATGCATCGTTGCAGTATATAAGATGAGCAGACATGGACAATCTGAAAGCATCATGGCAGTTTCCACCAGGTCCATGGTATGCTAAGGGGACTAGTGTGCTGGCTGAAGAAACAAACATCTTTAACTTTCACAAGCTTTCCTTTTCTTCAAATTCAGCCTTTGGAAGTAAAGTTCTCTATGCTGTGGTGAAGTAAGGCTTGTAGTGAAAATGAAAATCTGTTCATCTTGATTAGTCTTCTGATAAATAAGATGAGTAGTTCAGTTCCCTTATATTTTCTTTGTTAATACTTAATTTTGTTTTAGTATGGGACAGGAACATACTATTTATTTATAAATTCATAAATTTATTCATAAATTCATAAATCAGTTAATAGTATATTTTACACTTTGAATTGTTGGTAGGACTTTGAGTTGACATTACTTCACTGATGGTGGAAGAATTAAATAGGGGTCCCCTGCTGATTTTCATTTCAACCTGATTCCATGCCTTAAACAGGAAGGACTTGAGTATTTACAGTATTGGCCTGCCAGACATGCTGTATCTGTGGGGGGAAAGGGGGGGGGGGATCAGGAGGAGGAAATACAGGTAAATAAAATAAATTAGGAAGAGTTACAGGTAAATAAGACAAATTTCTCAGTCTAAGAAAGGATGAAGGGTATCTTTTTGTTTTTCAGCATAATGTGTTTGATTTAGTGTTTACCCTTATAGGCTTGGTTCACTGTCTAATATTTGTAAAATTGTACAGACAATAAATGTGTGGTCTTTGATAATTGTTTAACTTTTAAACCAATAATACAGTATATTACTTAGATGTAACACTAGTTGCTGTTCATACTTTAAAATTTTACTTATTTTTTGCTTTTGTCCCCTGAGTTACCAAGAAGCAACTTGTCAGTATTGCTTTGTAACGTCATTTTGACAATGAGTGATATCAGGTGATGGGGTTTTCAGCTTCCACACTTAACTTTGGTAAACAGCTACACCTTGTCTGCAACATTCCCAGGCACTCTATCTGTAGAATCCAAAAGCTTTCTTAAATCTATATTTCCTGGGTAATCTAGTGGGCTGAGAACAGAAGTGGAAACCAGGAATTCCTGTTTTCAAATTCCACCTCCTAAGGTGATTTTCTCTTTGTAGCTTTGGGCATGTCTGTTTAATCTATCTGCATCCATTTCTCTCCATTTAAAATGAGCATAATACCTCACAAGACTATTTGTGTGGATTAATTGGTTAATCTGCTAGGTATTGTTATTACTGGTACCATGATTCCAGAAGGGTTAACAGTTACATTTAATTCACTGTGGCTTTTGAACAAGCTTTTTAAATGTATGGCTTTAAAAAAAGGATATTTAACACCATATCAGGAATTCACTTATTTGTAATTCTTTTCTTTTTATAGTGAAGAGGTCTGTATTTTGTCCGCGTCTGGCACAGCAGCTGTACTGAACCCTAGGTTTCTCCAGGATGGCACCATGGAAGGCTGTTTGGAACAAAGGTTGTCATGGCAGCCTGGCTTCTTTTCCATAGGGTCAGAGAAGGGAGAGGTTGATTTTTTTCCTCAGAACCAAGATAGTTCTTCTCTATTAGGGTAGGTTACAGTGTTACAGTGCAGGATGCGGGACCAACCACTTTACTGATTTTCACTAACAACAACAACAGAAGTAATGGAACTCTGCACCAAATTAGATTTTCTGTTTTTATTTCTAACAGTCTGAATAAGGTAACATGTTTGACTACTAACCACAGAATTATAACTCAGTCTTTTTCTTTGCCACTCTTCACGTATCTTTCTTACCTTTGTAGCACACTACAAAAAAGTGACAGTTATATGATAATTTGTATAAGCCAAATCTTGGTTTGGCTATAGTATGTGGACCATTGTCTTTGTTGTGTTCAATGGCTGTATAGAAAATAAAATACCTTTGAGTGTAAAACAAAAGTGAATAAGACAAGCATTTAAAAATGAATGTTCAAACTGAAGATTATAAACAAAAGCATAAAGGTTGATGGAAAAGGAAAAAAAAAAATGAATTGGCCAACTAACACAAATTGTTGGCTGTTTGACCTCTGTTTTTTGTTTGCTTTTTTTTTTTTTTTTTTTTTGTAGGGAGAGAGGGGCTTGCAAAATAATTATTTGAGGGCAGTCAAGATATACAAACTATTGCATGTCAATAGGACTTTTTCAGTATCTTCACTGGAATAATAGTCACATATCCTTAGGGATTAGTACAGTCCAAAATATACAGTGTATCATAGTGAAGTGATACAATTTTATCTCAATATTTAGCTTTTTCTTTTTTAATTTCGTTAGGAAGAGACTGAGTATTACCTTTCCCTGCAAATACTACTTGTTGATCAGTTCTTTGAAACTGCAGTTTTAACCCCTTTAAACAAACAAACACACCTTTCCTTTTCTTTTTTTCTGGTCCCAACAGAACATTTAATACACTTGTTCAACCTCTCCTTCCCCTGTTGACATCTAAAGAAATGTCAAGTTTTTAATGTTAAAACAAAATAAAAATTCAGTTTTTGATCATAATATATTTTATAAGCTTGTTGAATGTGTTGTTTAAAGGGAAAATCAAATTTATTTTCAGTAATAAAAGCTGACTGATAATAAAGCAACCAAATGTGAAATATGTACAGAAAGTCTGTCTCATTTTCAAAAATGACTTAGGCTCCTTAGTGCCCAAATCTCTTTTAAAGTCAATGGGACTTAGGTTCCTAAGTCACTTAAGTTCTTTTGAAAATTTTACTCAGAGTTCTTTGAGAAGAAAAATTACTGTGCAGGACAAAATTTTACAATGAGGCTCTTACGTAGTATGTTACAAAATCGTAATTTGTTCAGACTATATTGTTTATAGTCTTCCATGTGTTTTTGCAACAATTCTGCCTAGATATATTTTTTTTCAGTTAAGTGAATAGTGAGTTTTTCTTAATACTGTAGCTTGGGAAATTCTTTATGGGTCTTTCCCTTTTTAATGACTATCTGTATTATACTGTTCTCCAGTAGGATGACTGGCATGTTTAATTTCTGCTGCTTAATTTTGTATAGGTTATTCAAACATAGTCCATGTAAGAGATTTGATATGTATTTACCCAGCAGAGTCCTTTGTAAAGGTGTGATATTCCACAGACTACACCCAGCTAGCAAGAATTAGATCTTAAAGCTATTGCAATAATATCTTAGGCTAATATAACCACTGGCCATTTTATGCTGTCATTTTTTGATCCCTGGATAACTGGTAAGCTGCACAGATACTATATGTATCATTTTAGAGAATAGCTTGTGACCTAATTCTGCTCTGTTACATTGGTGCAAGCCTATTAACCTGTTGCACAGATGTAGTAGAACAGAATTTGGCTCCATATGTGTGGCTTATGTAGTTGTATGTATAGGCCAATTTTATACGCACATGCACATTGTATTTCATGTTAAGATGGTGCACAGATGTTTTAAATATACTTTTCCAAAATGTACTTTTAGGATAGAAGAAACTTCACCTCCAGGTTGTGGATTTTTCCACATACCATATGATGAACTGAACATGCCATTCCCTGCTCATCTCACATACTGTTACAACTGCAGAAAACAAAAGGTTCCTGATGTTCTTTTCACAACAATAGATCTGCCTGCAGAGGCAATGGTTATTGGGAAGGGATGTCTTATTCAAGCCAGGTATCTGTCAAAATATTTATTTTCTTACTACTGTGCTGGAGAGCATTAGAAATTTTCCTGTTACTGTAGTTCAACAAAAGAGCAGATTTTATATTTTATGTTCAATTATGTGTAGTAACTGGCAGCTAAATGTTTATTTCCTGTTGTGATGTCATTAACTTTAGTTTTGTGCTTTTTATTTATACTAGTCTATAGTACAGGGGTGCTGGAATAATTTGCATAGTGGTGCTGCTGAGAGCCATTGAATCAAACTGTAAATTCTATATATGCTGGAAACCGCTTCAAGCCAGGGGGTGTTGCCACATCCTCCGTACCCCTAGTTCCAACACCTATGCTGTAATCCTATTAAATTTATTGTATTCAGCCCACATGGCTATGGAGAGCAAAGACTTGCAAGCAGGGCCGCCGAGAGCGGGTTTGGGCCCCGGCGAAAAAAAAATTTTGGGCCCCCCAGCAAGGGCGGACCGGCTAAACAGGGCCAACGAGAGGTGGGGGGGGGGGGGGGAGAAAGCTGGGCCCCCTTCCGGACCGCCGGGCCCCGGTAATTTGTATCGGCTTCCCCCCTCCTCTTGTCGGCCCTGCTTGCAAGTACAGAAGAAGGTTGCACATGATACATATGCTCAAGTTAAAATAATTCAAAATACTGAACCAGGCTGGCCGTACTGGGGGGTTGTGGTTGCAGTATCCATGTTCCCACTTGTAAGGAGTCTCCACTCTCGCCACTTCAGCCATCCTTGAGAAGGCATTCTGAACAACTTTTGGAGGATGCACCCCTTAGTCCGACTTAGATGCTTCTGCCAGAACTGGAGCACTTCCTCTCATCATCCCTGGAAACCGCGGTTCTTTGATTTCCTCCTCGCTCCCAGATGACTACCGTCAATTCCAAGAACTGTTATGTAGGGTGGCTGATGCCCTCCATATTCCACTGGAGGAAGTGCAAGACAAGCCTCACTAATTCCTTGAGATGCTACTGCCTCTGCACCAGTCAGAGTGGCCCTGCCAATCAATTCTTCAACCAGCCCGGACTGTCTGGCACACTCCAGCTACCTGCACTCCCACCCCCAAAGAGGTAGAGAAAAGGTACACCTCTACCCTGATATAACGAGACCCGATATAACATGAATTCGGATACAACGTGGTAAAGCAGCACTCCAGGTGGGCGGGGCTGCGCACTCAGGTGGATCAAAGCAAGTTTGATATAATGCGGTTTCACCTATAACGCGGTAAGATTTTTTGGCTCCCGAGGACAGCATTATATCGGGGTAGAGGTGTAGTATGTACCTCCAATGGGGCCTGAGTTTTTTTTCTCTCACCTGCCACCTAATTCTCTCATCTTTCAGGCAGCAATGGAGTGGGCCCATCAGCAACACTCACGTTCCACCCCAGTAGATAAAGAGGGCAAATGCCTGGACCTTGGGGGTCACAAGGTTTTCTTCTCTGCCAGTTTCACATTTCAAATTACCTGGCTCAATTTGCAAACTACAACTTCCTTATCTATAGCAAAATGGCATACTTCACAGACAAACTGCCCCAGCGGATCAAGCCCGATTCCAGGCTATCCTGGATGAGAGGACGCTGGTTGCGAGGACAACACTGCAGGCTGCGGTGGACGCGTCAGACACTTCTTTAGGCATGATGGCTACAGGGATCATCATGCGAAGGGAATTATGGCTGTATTTGTCAGGTTTCCTGAGGGAAGTCCAGACCACCATAGAGGACCTCGCTTTCAATGAGTCTCATCTCTTCAACCAGAAGACTGATGATTCACTTCATTCCCTCAAGGATTCCAGAGCCACTGTGCAATCACTGGGTTTCTACACACTGGCACCCAAGTGCAAGTTCTACCTGACTCCAAAGCAGCAATTTAGAGTTTCCCAATTATTCCTCTAGTGGCCCTATGAGCTTCCTTGCAAACAGCAGAAAACCCAGTGACCCCATCCCTCAGGTTCATCATCACAACCTTCTGCATCTCATACTCGGTCTTCCCAGAAGCACTATTTATGAGTGCAATTAGAGAGCCGCCAACCACCCTGCCTCATGCCGTGCACCCGACTCACTCCCTTTGGGGGGTGCCTATCACTCTTTTTACCACCTTGGAGTGCAATAACGGACAAGTGGATCCTGGATGTCATTCGATATGGCTATATGATCGAATTCAAAATGCTACCTCATCCTCATCCCTCGCCCGGGCCTAACTTCAGGGAAGACTCTCACGACCGTATCCTGACCCTAGAGGTAGACTCCCTGCTGCAAAGGCGAGTGACAGAACTTGTTCCCATGACACCACCACCGTCTATTACATCAACAGACAAGGGGGCACAAGGTTGCCTGCGCTTTGTGCAGACGCAATTCACCTTTGGGACTCGCTTTGCCCACAAGATCCTGTTACCAGCGGCATACCTTCTTGGGACTCAGAATGTAATTGTGGACTCTCAGTCAGCAGAAAGTTTGTGACTGACCACGAATGGGAGCTCCACGACACTGGTCGCTAGCATTTTCGACTGCTGGGAGACTCCAGCCAGGGACCTCTCTGCCTCCTGTGCCAACAGCAAATGCACCCTGGGGGACTTGGTGCCCTTTCCCACGGTGACTCACTAGTCCTTTGCTGGTCAGATAGCTCAATTACACCTTTCCTCCCTGCCGCTCCTGCCATGAGTCCTACACAAGATCAGATGGAAAAGAGCAACGGTCATTCTGATTGCCCCATTCTGGCCTTACCAGTTCTGGTTTTCCCTGGTTCTCAGCATGTCAGCGTGCTCCCCACTTCCACTGCCACCTTTCCCAAAACTCCTCATGTAACAAGGTGGGTGGATCGGGCATCCCGATTCCCAGACTCTTCACCTCAGAGCCTGTTTTTTGGATGAGCACCTTCATTAGAGCAGGAGTGTTCATCAGCAGTACAAGGCTCTTCTCAAATAACGGAGAGGAGTCCACAAAGTGATCCTATAGGGCTAAATGGAAGTGTTTCACCTCCTGGGCTCAGTGGAAGGGTCTAGCCCCTGAGGATGTAGATATTCCTCCTCTTTTGGACTATATGCTCTCCCTAAAGACATCTGGCCTTGCGCTCAACTCCATCAGGGTGCACATGGCTGCTGTCAGTACCTTCCACCCCCCTGCTCGAAGGACACTCCTTTACTCACCCCTTGACTATCAGGGTTTTGGAAGGGCTTCCTATGAACCTATCCTTCTGTTCAGCCCATTGCTCCCCAATGGGACCTCAACTTTGTCGTCACGATGTTAATGAAGTCACCCTTTGAGCCTCTGGCTTCATGCTCTCTCTCTTCTCCCCATGAAGATTGCCTTTCTAGTAGCTATTACTTCTGCAAGATAGTGAGTCCCGCCTCACCCTTTGTCACCTCAGATGAAACCATGAGGTGGAGCTAGGGTGCATATGTGGACCAACGGACACTACCTTTTTAAAAATCTGTGGCTCCAGACACATGGCAAATGCATATAATCCGCAGTGAAATACAGATAGGGACCACACATCTTGAAGATCTTCCAGTTATAGGTAAGTAATTTCTTCACTGACAGAGCCCTGCATACTGAATTGTCCTTAGTGAGAGAGAAATCAAAGAAACTTTTTGATATGTTGGAAGTCCGCAAGGAAGGGAAGACTATTCTCATAAATTTCAAAGGACATGCAGAGGTAGTAAAGAATGCTGGGTGTCACCTTCTTCAATATTTGCTGCGACAAAGTGAGCCTGAATACCTTTATTAAGGTATCAGAGGGGTAGCCGTGTTAGTCTGGATCTGTAAAAAGCAACAAAGAGTCCTGTGGCACCTTATAGACTAACAGACGTATTGGAGCATAAGCTTTCGTGGTTGAATACCCACTTTGTCAGATGCATGTGACCTTTATTAAGGTGCAACTGTACAGTTAGTGGGAATTATAACATTTCTTTAACCACTCTGGATTGGCATCTCTGGTCACCTCAGCAATGTTAGTTATGATTTCAGAGCTCAGCAAAGAAGTATCTCAGAATTAGTTGTTTTTCAGATTCAAAACCAACTTCCAGTATAAAATATTTGTATAATGTAGTCAAACTTCATCTCAGTGTATTTTGAACTTACCGTGTTAGCACTTCTCCAGTTATATAGTTATATTAGGTGTTGGTACAATATTTTTAAAGTGGAGTTATAACTGTGTTGGTCCCAGGATATGAGAGAGACAACGTGGGTGAGGTAATATCTTTTATTGGACTAACTTCTGTTGTGAAAAAGACACGCATTTGAGCTACGTAGCGCTCTTCTTCAGGTCTGAAGAAAAAAGCTTGTCTCTTTCATCAACAGAAGTTGGTCCGATAAAAGATATTGCTTCACTCACCTTACCTCTCCAATAATTTTAAAGGCATAGTGCAGTAGTTTTCTGTGATCCACAGAACCCTCAGGTTCCTCAGACTATGTCTAAGGGGTCTGGGAAAGGTGGTTGTTACCATAGAACAATGGTTTACGCCTGTGGTCGGGTCCACAGACCAAGTTTAAGATTTTCAAAGGGGTCCTCACTGCCATTTGAAATTTTTTAGGAGTGTGCAAATGAAAAAAGGTTGAAAAACACTGGCATAGTGGGTGAAGCATATTCCTTGCTTTCTGAGTACATTTTTATGTATGTTTTGATTACTAGAAGTAAACATGATTTCATAAAAAGAATTGACAAAAGTCATGCTTTCCAGTTTTTATAATCTGTTTTAATAAGGGATGTTTCTTAATATTATTTAAAATACGTGTATTATTCTGCTTTATAAGTTACTTTTGTTCAAGGTTTCCAGTTTTCAGTTTAAACAGGTATTTTCCTATTAAAATATGACCGAAATTAAGGGTAAAGATGTACAGCAAATATTTGTTAAAAGCCAAAAAGGGTCAATTTGATGTTGTGCTGACTTGGTATTTTACAAAAAATAGAATTAAATTCCAGAAAATAACTTTGAATGTTTTGTCAAATATAAAAAGCCTGCACATTTGCTTTTGATCGCTTACAAAGTTTATCAGTGGTTAAAAGTGCTTACATGCGTAAGACAGACTAATTCTACATATGTGACGATTTCCATCAACAGGTTATGTCGCCTGAAAAAGAAAGCTCAAGCTGAAGCAAATGCAACATCCATCAGTAATCTGTTGCCATTTATGGAATATGAAGTACACACCCAGCTAATGAATAAACTTAAATTGAAAGGAATGAATGCTCTGTTCGGTCTGAGGATTCAGATTACAGTGGGTGAAAATATGCTGATGGGCTTGGCAGTAAGTGTTGCTTTGAATGCATAAATTAGAATTCCTCGTTCTATTATATTCTGTTCTTCTAATTTCACAAAACCGTTTGTGCCAGTTTTGTATGATGGTGGAATTCTGGACAAATGGAGATATTTAAAAATTAAAGTTTTATTAACAAATGAGATGGTGGAAAGGAAGGAGACCGCCACCTTCTTGTTGACAGATCAGAATATACTTGCCTTGAATACCAGACCCAATAGGTTGGACTCACTTTCATCTACTAATTCAGTTTCAAGAATCTTAAGTACAGGAGGCTTCCCCCAAAATATGCTGTAGAAAAATCATAAATTCCTTTAATGGTTACTGTCGAGATCTGTTTTGACTCCTTAAACTGCATTCCATGTTCATGGTAGATGGGATTTGCCCTCACTGAGTATTTGTAAGTCTTTGGTTATCATCTAGTAAAAAAGAGGAACCCCCAACACTCCAGCCTATTGCCTCTGCTTGTAATATTGATGGCCTCTAATGCCTCTCTTACTTTCCATCTAACTATTAATTCTAAAGGAGCTGCATTATGGTGTTGCATTAGCTTAACTCTACAAGGTACTCAACCCTTTCAACTGTATTTATGATGTACTGTTTTTCATAGAATGAATTTGATGCTTCTTTCTGTTTCGTTTAAAATAAAATATAATTTTTAAAAAACAAAAAAAACACACCCAAAGTGAATTTTGGAGACCCTCTGTGCTGTCCAGACTTTCTTATTTTTGACTAATATTTTATAAATATCCTCCGCGCACACACACCTTATTGTATTTGTTTTTAATTCCATACCCTCCTTTTTTGGAGCTTTCTGATGGCAGAGAAGTAATGACCAGTAGGTTGAAAGTGTTCTAGGCCTAATTATAAAATGTTGCACCACTGGCATCTCTGCTCTGCCTGTGATGTGTGGGGTTGGGATAGCCAAATTTAATTCTATCTCTGCCAAGTCATCTCAGTGAATAGATGGGCCCTGAGTAGAGGCTATCAAGCTCTCTCCATCCTGACACTTCCAATGAGAAGTTGGCCCAGATGACCTCAGAGGCCATGTTTTTGAATGTGTACAAGTCAGCCAACTCCATTGAATGCCAAGAGATGTCACCAACACTAGCCTTTTTAAGTACATATCTGCTGATAGAAGTCTCAAAGCTATCCAGGCCAGCAGTTGAAAACAAACAAGGATCAGAGGATTCAAGGTTGAACCTCAACTCGGGCCTCAACCTGTGCTTTGTGAGAGAGCCAACAATACACTGAGCTGCTGCTAAGCACCAATGGAGTTTTGCAACAACTCTGCCAAGAACAGTGATGCCTGATATGCTTATGTCTGATCTTGGATCAAGGTGTTTGGAACCAGTGAGAAGGTGGTGGTCTCCTTCCTTTCCACCATCTCACTTGTTAATAAAACTATAATTTTTAAATATCTCCATTTGTCCAGAATTCCACCATCCTACAAAACTGGCACAAACGGTTTTGTGAAATTAGAAGAACATTTTATAAGGTTAGACATCACTATTCTTGGCACGGTTGGTGCAAAATTCCATTAGTGCTTAGCAGCGGCTCACTGAATTGTATGGTCTCCCAGGAAGCACAGATTGAGGCCTGAGTTGAGGTTCAACCTTGACTCCTCTGATCCTTGTCTGTCTTCAACTGCTGGCCTGCCCTGTATAAAGCTTCCATTAATTCTATGTCTGATGATAATGGCACTGATAAGTCACGTCACTGGGTCAAGAGTTTGTTAGGACCAACTGAACTCCCTGATGTTTTTGTTTCTCGGTCTTTAACGGTTACGTAGATGTAGGCACTGAATAACACTAATGACACTGTAACGATTCTGTGTCTGAAGCCATTGTTGCTGTGAGCGTGCTTTGGGCATTGGCAACGATACCATGTCCCCAGTTGTCCTTGTCTTTGTATCTCACTTGTGTCAGCTTCAGTAACTTCAGCGGTGTACATGCTAGTTTATTATAAAAATACATCCAATACCCAGATCTGTTCAGCAGACTGAATGTATACTTGGGATGAAAGAAATAATGGTAAAATCTTAGTAACTGATTTTACCTGTATGTATGTGGTACGAGTTGTCTCTTCAGATTAATTCCAAATCTCCATAGTAGTGAAGTGAGAACCTCATTTCCCTGTCCTCAGAAGTGAAAGTGTGTATGATGAAACATATTTTCCTTTCGTAGACCACTATCTTGACAGATGTTCTTTGTCAGAAATTTGAATTTTGTTAAGAAAACAGTTGAAATAACTTAGTCTGATTTGATTTCAGTCTTTTTTTATTAAGTTGGTTTATTTAAAGAGCCTGTAAGGTTCTGGTAAATATCTATCTGGCTTTCACACTGTAGAAATTCTTATGAAATAAGCCAGAAAACCTTCATTTTCTGTTTCATATGAATAATGAGCGAAAGAGATGCTTCAGTAATCTGACTAGTTCATATACTGGTCTGTGACTGTAAAGACAAATTAAAGTCCTTGATACTGGGAAATTTTGATTTTCTAACTTGTTTCATCAAAATGAGTTAATACTAAGGTCTACATCAGTGTAACGCCTATTGAAGTTGAGGATAAACTGAATAAATGAATATTTAGCACACTTATTGTTGTATTGATTACCGGTCACAAATTTTTGGACATGAAGAGTAGAGATTTCTTTAGAAAAGAGTAGAGATTTCTATTCATATTTGAGATGAGCTCTTGAATCAAGGAACAAGATTTTCCTTAAGGGAGTGTTCCCTCAGATGGGGAGAAAGGTGTTGCAAGGCGTATTGTTTTGAATCTACAAACAGTAAAGGTGGATTAATTTACCACAGTAGCAGTCCATGACATAAAGATACAAATTGTACTGGTGAATACATGAAAATCCTGGGTAGTATTGAAAACTATAAATATTTTAAACCAGTAGAAGTAAAATTAAACATTGAAAATAAAGCTTTATAGGGCATATTTTGTTCTTGAACATCTTTGTTGTTTTCTTACTGACTTTTTTATTTATTTTTTATAAAGTCTGCCACTGGTGTGTATCTGACAGCTTTACCGACCCCTGGTGGTATTCAGATTGCTGGGAAGACTCCAAATGATGGCGCCTATGAACAGCATGTTTCTCACATGCAAAAAAAAATAAATGATACAATAGCAAAAAACAAGGAGCTTTATGAGATTAACCCTCCTGTAAGTAAAATTTATACAACTCTCAAAAAGGAGAATTCCATGTCAAATGCAGTTCATACTAAACTAGTATGGATACTGATCCATAACTGAAGAGGTTTGATTTGAGTGCATGGTTATTTATCAATATGAAAATCCCTGAGCTCTCTCTGAGGTAATCAGAGCAGAGATTTATATAATCACCTTGTAGCTGTGGAAGGCTAGAAAACATCTTTTACTCTAATAGTCTGCATGTACTCCTTGTTAACTTGGTAATAACATATCCTTTGGCTTAGGGCTTTTAGCTCCAGCTGTAGTTGTTGCCTCATAACCAGAAAGCACACTCAAGCTATCATTTAAATACATTTGTGGAGTAGCTAAATATTAATATGGTATACCTTTGTTCTATATCTAAGAGTCCACTCTAGCCTCAAATATGCATAGCCATCTAGGCTTCACAAGCTAGCTCCACTGCAGACCATAGAGAGAGAGGTTAGTCTGCGCAGAGAGCCTCCTGAAATCCTCTATTCTTACATGCTAGGAGTTGAAGAGCAGCTGAAGGGAAGAAAAAATAGTATAAATATAATTCCCATCTCTGTCGCTATGCAGTTCCGTAGCTGCCTGGATATTCCTATAGTTCTCCTGCTGGATTAGCTCTTCTTTAGTCCTAAAATAGGGAACGGACAAGTCCTGGCAGATGAAGAAAAAAATATCCTTAATTTTGTATGGAAACTGGGAGCATCTATCGTACTCTTTCCACTTTGATCCTTCCATTTACATCATTAGAGAACAATACTGTGGGAGACTTCTGCCCCACACAGGTATTTTTTCGTAAGATGACCTGTAGGCTGGCCAGTAGCTGTCCCTCTTTCTTAGAACCATAGGAATTCACTGGTCCCAATACAGAAGTAGATTCCAGAAAGGGAAGCATGGGAACTCTTTGAGATTTTTGGACTGTGAAGCGGCTTAACATGTCTTGTTTCTATGGCTAGCTGTCAGCTAGAGAGGATCTCATCCTGCCCAAGAACCAAAAGTGGGACTCTGGCAAGAGTGGCGTTCTTGTGCACATGAATCAGCACTAGGTAGCCACTCCCAAGAAGGAAAATTAATCTTTTTTTGAAATAGTTATCTTTACAGCTGTGTAGCTGGAGGTATCATTGACCACTGTGAGGCAGAAAACATTGAAGTTGCTTTCTGCCAAATAGGGCCCCTAAGCCTGTATCAACAATTCCAATATAAATCCCATTTTTCTGTGATTTGCAGCTGCCATAAAAAAAATTATTCTAGGTTGAAATGCTCCATGCAAAGTTCTCTGTCTACCTCTATCTGATGGTTTTTTAATGCATCCCATTCTCCTTAGTAACTGAGGCTGTTTATGCTACAAGCGCTACAATGGTGCCACTGCAGCATAGGCACTTCCTACATCTACAGAAGAGGTAGTTAATCCACCACTCTGAGAGACAGTAGCTAGGTTGACAGAAGAGTTCGTCTGTCAGCCTTGCGACATCTACACTGGTGACTAGGTCGACCTAAGTACCGTGCTCAGGGTATTAAATTTTTCAGTGTAGACCAGACCTGAGTGGCCTCTAGGTTAATTAGATTGGCACAGTGAGGTCTCCAATAGGTGTCATGGAGTCTTCGGCTCTTTGATTACGGAAGCTCTCTACATCCTACATATTTTTTTTCAATAGACCAGAATCACTTCACCTTCCCCAGTAAACTGAGATGGTCTTTAGAAGATCCTTAGCAGGTTTTTTGTTCTTAACTTTCCTCTTATAAGAACAGAAATAAGTAAATAGGGTACATCTCATATAATCCTCAATGTATCCAAAAACTGTTGAGGTGGAATGGATGCAATTACTTCCAGATCTGGTTAACATTACTCATCACTGATAGAGATGGCGTTGATACGTTTTATTCCTCTCTCTCAGTTTCATGCAGAATATGCAGCATCTCAGTTCTTAAACCTGAGGGGAAACTGATTGGGACAAAAAATTAAAATAACAAAAAATGTACACAGGTTTTTTTGTCTTAAATAGACTTCAGCGGTTCATCTATCATTGTTATTCATAGATCTGACATATTTCTTAGTCACTGTGTGCATATGTGTATAATTAAAAATGAATTTATTTCACTGTTTGTCATTACCAAGGAACATTGTATAAAAACAGAATTTTTGTATATACAACTCTCTTTAAGTCACCACAATTGGCTGTTGTGGAGCTAAGAATTAGCTGCTAATTCTTACTCCTTTCCAGAAGCAGTAATCGTGTCTGGTATAAGTAGCAGGAATGACTGAAATGAGGGAAATAAATCCTGTATGCATATATCCCTAGTAGTGATAAAGAAAATTCTAAAATAAAAGGGCAGGATGGAATTAAAAACAGAAAATATGATTTATATTGTCGGCAAAATTACTTCTAAGTAGAATGATGATCAGAATGTTCCGAGTCTTAGAACTATGTGATGGCAAGGTGTTAAAATTTCAAAATAGTTTTAAGACTTGGAGTACATATATGAATTTTATTGTAATACTGTTTTCAGGAGATACCAGAGGAAATCATAGGGTCTCCCTTTCCAGAACCAAGACAGCGTTCCAGGCTGCTAAGATCTCAGTCAGAAAGTTCTGATGAAGTTATGGAACTGGACCTTTCACATGGGAAAAAGGATGCTTTTGTCTTGGAGGTAATATCCATGTCTATGATGCTCATGCTCCTGCCTTTCGTCTTGAAAAATGTATGAAAAATAGATAAAGGACCTCTTAATTATTTCTAAAGTATCCTGAATTGTAGAGCAGCTCATTAATTTTTGTATCAATAGAAACTCTTAATTGAAATTTGAAGCAAACCTCTGTTCCTCTTTCCTGTTGTTCTTTAGCACATCTACTGTCTGCATATGAACCACATCCTAAAAGATATCCTCCTCTTGGTCACCTTTGTCAAGCAGTACCTAGATGCTAGTAAAAAGCAAATGGGTGATTCTTTTTCAGCTACAAAAAAGACAGGCAGTCATCACTGATGGGAGCCTTAAATAGCTTGTATGCTACACCTCAGCGTTCAGTGTTGAAACCCAAAAATTACATTATTTTTGTGATCATTAATACAATTTATTTATTCTTTGAGGCTCCTATGTCTGAGGAGCTAGAATTCTTTGCGTGTAACATTTTATTAGACTAAATGGCCTTTAGAAAACAGAAGAACCTGGAGTGCTCTGTCAGGTGAAGTGGTGCATGTTATAACTTAATATTTGAAGTGTACTTATTTATTCTGAAGTTAAATTGCTTTTAATGAGCATATATTTAAATGAATTAAATATTTTGAAGTACTGTGAGAAGTGTAAAAATAAATTGTTTTGTTTCCCTGAAAGTGCTAAATCAAAAATTCTTGAATTTTAAACTTGAAAGTGGTGGTCAAATGATAATTATACTAAACCTTGAAGAAATGGAATGTTGTTTTTTATTTTTTTTAATCTTGATTAGTTGTTTTGTATTTTGTTCAGTTTGCCTCTTTATTGATCCAGCTTGTCTTTTTCAGAAGCAAATATGAAATTTAAAAACTTTGGTATGGTTTTTCAAAACCGGGTGTCTAAGTTTGGGCTAAAGCCCTTATTTAGGAATCTAAATAAGTTAACTGATTTTCAAAAGTGCTAAGTACCCAGCAATTCCCAAATTAGTCATTTATTTAGGCATCTAAATAAACTCGACTTTTGTATCTAGAACCAACCTTGTTGTAGTATTTTTGTCTTATTGACACTACCAATGTGTTTTATTTGTTTCAGATTGATGATACAGATGCAATGGAAGATGTACATTCTTTACTGACGGATGTTCCACCACCTCCAGGTCGAGTAAACAAAATTCTCATGCTATGTGATTAAAATTAATAGTTATATAAACTTTTGGCAGTCCTTTTCACAATATGCTGGATAATGGAGAATTGTTTTATTTCATTCAAGGTCAGAATTAGAAAAAAAATTCCTTGAAATGCAATATTGTGGGTCAAATCTCACAGAGGACAAATGCTTTGTCTCTCTTGAGAATATGCTGATTGTAACTTGAGGCAAGGAAGATTGCTTCCCAAAACACTGTCGTGAGCTGATCATCTTTTTGTATCATAACTGGAAGTTCAACATAGTAGTAATTTCCTTGTAGAGTGAAAAGTTTCAAAAATCTTGTGTCTTTTGCACTAGTAATTCAGTATCTGCCGATTGTTATATTCTGGACGGCTGAAATGTAGGTAGAGGGTTCACTGAATGTAGAAGTATTGAGTCAATATATTGCTGCAGTGACTTTAGCCATATAATATGAGCTGTCCATTAGATACTATGTTTTATTCCAGGAATGTTGTTTAAACTAAACAGTATTACTTGTTATATCTCGCGTGTTGTCAAACAACAACTTTTATATTTTTTCTTTCAATGTGGCAGTATTCATTTCCATGGTGCTCTCCATATGAAAATCTACCTCTGTCTTCCACTGGAGCTTTCCAAACTGTCGTTTTCTGTTGAGGAGAGACAGTTCAAGAAGACCTGGGTTTCTTGATTATTTCATCCACAACATCAAGTTTTTCATCCAAATCCACTGTGCTTATTTTGTCTAGAAAGCAGCAGTGTAATAAATAATAGCAAACTGGCTGTGCGGGGCGGGACTAATTTCTTCAATACTTGCTAAAGTCCTTGTGAATCTATAAACATCAGAGTTTAGCACTGTACAAGAGTATTAGATTTTCAGAATACAAGAGATGCCACAAAATGAATTATTGACAGTGTAGCAGAATTGATTCCTCCCACCATTGAAGGTGACCCGTGGCACTCTCCTCTATGCCAATCAAGTGAGAGCTTATAACCCATAACTGCCACCTTCCGCGTTGAGTCCATATTGCCAGCAAGGATGGAGTGTCCTCTCCATATGATATTGCTGCAATAGCCTGGGCAGTTGATATGGAGGAGGGGCTGCTTTGCCCATGTGTCAGCGTCCCCCTCTTGACTTCACTGGTTTGGACCAGAGGAAGGACGGGAGTCAATACATTTGGAACCAGCTATGCTGCAGGAGTTGCCAGTGCCAAGATCTTCCATCTGCCTGCCTTTCAGGGCTCCACTCTAAGATTGGTTGTCGGCCACAGCTGAAGGGCCCAGTCTGTCTTGTGTGGATGTCGTTGGCAAAAACACTGAGTTTGCTCATCCACCTTTTGATGGCATTTCCTCCATCAAGGGTTCCACTGCCCTCCAGGCACCATCAGCCCGAAGCCATTGGCGCTTCCTGAGGTTTCTGGGTTAATTAACCGCCGCCCAGCACTTGGCATTGACCAGTACAGGTTGTACTGCTTATGGTCATAGCGGTAGCAGGTTTTCAATTCTGACCTGATAGAGCTAGATGTGGAGCCCACTGTAGGAGAGCTAAGCAAGGCCAATGATTTACTATCAAGTGGCAAGACTCCTGGAAAAGATGGCATCCCAGCGGAAATCCTCAAGTGCGGGAAAGAAAGCCAATTACCATATCTTCATCAGGTGCTACTTAAATGCTTGAAAGACGGTGAGATAACACAAGAGTGGCATGATGCAAACATCATCACTTTATATAAAAATTAAGGCGAAAAGGGGGACTGCAACAACTACAGGGGTATCTCACTACTAAGTGTAGCAGGAAAAGCTTTTGCAGAAGTCATCTTAGTGTGCCTACAACAGCTGGCGAATCAATTCTACCCTGAATCACAGTGTGGATTCAGGGCTGGAAGATCAACTACAGACATGATATTTTCTCTCTGTCAACTCCATGAAAAGTGCAGAGAGCAAAACCGACCATTATACTTCTCCTTTGTGGACCTAACCAAAGCATTCAACACAGTCAGCAGAGCAGGTCTATTTGCTACACTAGAAAAGATAGGGTGCCCACCAAACTTGTTAATTCTTATATGTTCATTCCATGACAACATGAGAGCAACTGTCCAGTTTCATGGGTCTACTTCAGACTGCTTTGAGATGAAAAGCAGAGTGAAGCAAGGATGTGTTCTTGCCTCTACAGTCTTTGAAAACTTCTTCTCGGTACTCTTGAACTGTGTATTTAAGGACATGAAAGATGGAGTGAAACTCTTTCAACCAGTCCCGACTTAAGACAAAGACCAAAGTCAAAAAGGTGCTAATGAGGGAACTTCTATTTGCTGCTGATGATGCCCTCATAGCCCACAATGAAGATCTACTACAAGAACTCATGGACTGCCTTTCAAGTACCTGTCAGGCACTCAGGGCCGGCTCTAACTTTTTTTTGCTGCCCCAAGCAGCAAAAAAAAGCGCCGCCCCCCGAAGCCCCCCAGCGCCGCGCCGT